TTTTTATGTTCTTGTTTGTTTATGTATGTTTGTGTTTGCTGTAAAAAATAAAAAACTTTAAAAAAAAAACAATGAAAGGAAAAATCTGTCCCCCACATCAAGCTCCAAGCTAGAAGAGAGAACTGGAATATAGAATGACTTAATGATAGCTAAGGGAACTATGGTTGCCAGCTAAAGTTTGTTAACTCTTAAAGAATTATCTGTAATTTACAAGAAACAAAGTATCCCAGCAGCTTTTACCACATACAGAACCAATGCCATATACTCAAAAGAATGGTAGACTAAATGATGGGAGTACACATCAATGTAAAAAATAATTGTGTGTTTAAAAAACAAGTCTGATACTGAATTTAATTTAACCTGGAAAACATTTATGGATTATAATTCTGCACACAGACTTGTACCACATCCAGAGTTTGGGTCTCTCCTAACATAAGCCTTTTTAAAATACTAGATTTTGCCTGACTTGTTATAATAATGTCAGGCTTTCTCAGATTAGATGGAAACTCCTATTGTTTGTTCTGACTGATGATTACATTGGCTGTCTCTGTTAATTACCAAATATTGATTTGATTTTAATAGTAATTTTAAAGTGATAAATTGATATAAACTGCCTTTGTACACAGCACTAATTAATGCTATTTCCAAAATCCTCATTCAGTTTTATATATCTTGTAAATCTGTTTTCTATTTATTTTCTTTCTTTTTTCTTGGTTGTGCTTCCATACATTTGTTAAATAAAATAAAATAAAATAAAATAAAATAAAATAAAATAAAATAAAATAATCCAGCTAATAGCAAAACTATCATACACTAATAGCAAGTCATCACACTTCATCCTTGAATCAGGTATACAAAATTATGCACAAGAGGTTGTGGATTGTATGACAAATTTTGAATTGTATTATAGGATATTAATCTGAAAATTAATTAATGCTATTTCAGGAATATACTTGGGTCTTAGGCATTCTTTGTATTCATAGACAACCACAAGCTACTGCTGTTTATTCCTCCTGTAATCCCCCAACACATGTACATACCATTTCAAAATGTCCCTGAAACTTTAGGAACATATTTTCAGGGGTACAAAGGAAAATCAGCGAAACACTCTTCTCCCCCCACCCATGTCAACAATGGCTGAAACATTCCATCTCTGAGTTCCACTTAAGAAAACTGTTGTACAGTTCATAAATGCAAAATAGTTTGAATCAACTGATTCTAGACAAAGTAAGGTACTAAAATATAAATAAAGTATTCTTTAGTTGTTGCTAGACTTCCTCCTGAACATGATTTGTTCCCTCATCCCTAGTCATCACAACAAAATTATGAAACCTGCAAATTAAGCAAACAATTTATTCTGATCTTACCAAACACAGAAAGCTCTATCCTTGCCCAATTAAAAACCCAAAATCCAATCTTATTGCTGCTGCTATTTACTGTCTATATTTCATTCTGTTTTGGCTTCACTTCAAAGGTTAAGATTAACACTGCAACAGACCAAGAGGTGGTTAAAAAAAAAACAACCCAAAAAATCTTTCCCAAGCCTCACTCTACAAGCAAGAAAACATATTCCATTATAACTTTTAGCAGAGTACCTTCAGGGTTAATTGCAGCAGGACAAACTTCTTTTAGGAGATCACCCAGTGTATGTAGCTGTCCATCTACGGCAACAGGACGGAATAGCTTCTGTATAAAAGGTCGCTCCGTTGTTGTCTAGCAATAAATTGTTAATGTTAGTAAAAACATAACTAGAATAGCTGCATATAATTATCTCACAGGAGCATGAGGGGTAAAATAAATAAAACATTTCACATAGCATATGCTTTCTTTTATTAAAATATACTATTTGAAATAATTTTTTAAATAAAAAATACTGCAAAATTGTATAATCAAAGTGCCTCTGCAGGTTAGGCACTTTGATTATAGTTATATAATTATATAGTTATGGTTAGGAAAACACCTCAAAACCTCACCTTCATGAAGTTTCCATATGATCTAGACATGCTAAGCCACACCATAATCTTTAATATCAATATCTACTGCAATTTCCAGACAATTGTTTGGTGATCAGATGGAAATTTTAAATATGAAATATGTTTCATTTAACAGTTGGGAGGGGGTGGAGGAAGAGAGATGGAGAAGACTGTAGTTTTAAGAAATTTTCCAACATTAACTTTATTCTGGTCCTGAGGTAATCTAGCAACGACATATCATACAATATTGAATTTGGCGACAGTTACCCATGCCTTAGTTGCATAATACTTAAAAATCAACAAACTTGATATGAGGATATCTTTGAAGAGCATCCAGAAGTTTTGATAATTGTAGAATATAGTAGCTATATTGCTGACTGGTTCATGATATAGGGATTGTATTATGCCTATGCTGAAAGATCTGCACCAGTTTGTTTGTTTTTTAATGCAATTTGAAGGTGCTCTTTTAACTTTTAAAGCCATAAGTGATATAAGGCCTGATTATCTATAGTGGGGTTTTTCAAACTGGGTTCTGAGGTCTCAAGTGGCCACAAGGGACTAAGGGAACAAAAAGTCATCTCCACAAAAGTTTGAAAGCTATTGATATAAGGGACCATCTATTCAGTATGAATACATCTGACTGACAGAAAAGACCTAAGATGGTTTGATTAAAAAAAAAAAGTTAGGGAAATGGTTGTGTGAAGCTTTGAATGAAAGGCAATTCAGTGAAATTATCCAAACACAAATGTGCAATACATTGATATGCCAAATCATACTAGATAATACTGAAGTGGTTCCAAGATTAGATTTTTAATACAAATTAATGATTTATATCAACTCAATTCTTCAAATCATGTAACAAATTTGAATTGAATCTTGGTTGATACATATCTCCAGTGGAAAGCCTCCCTTGGAGTTGTTACTAGCTTTTTACTCTTTTGTTGTATAACGAGTCAGGGCACTCGGCCACATCTTTGAGTTGCTTGACAATTATTTTAGGTATCAGATATGTATTATTTTTGACAGGAGGTCATTGTTTTTGTCCGATAGTACCTTAAGAGTCCTGAAAATGGAAAGCTGGAGCATCAAATAAAAAATAGCTTCACAAATTTAGTGTGAGAAGTGCGAGGGTTTTACTTGTTTTGAAGCCTCCTAACAAAAGAGCCTTGATCTATTTTGAAAGCTAATATCAAAGAGGCAAAGTTCAGTCTTCAGCCAGATACAGTAAATTAAAAACAAAACAAAACACCCTAATGTTATTTCAAAGTAACATGTACCATTACATAATAACTTCTTCCATAGGTAAGTTGACTAAATATTACAGTCTTCTTCCTAAGAACACTGGTTCTCTGGCTTTTAAACAATATGTATAAGCCAAACAATTTATACAGGATGTAATCATAACAGAAAAAAACATAAACCACAAATTATAATTCTTAAGAAATGAAAGCCAACAGACTTACTAGTCTTTACATCTACATAAAAGAATGGATTTCCTAATTGTATTTAAACCACAGCAAATTGCCTTACATGTTAAACCCACACAATAACCCTTATGATTTCCACATGTCATTTTAGCCATATAAAAACTGAAGTTCCTCTTACATTATTTCCTCAGTGTACCAAAATCTCAGATTATGAGCACTTATTGTGTTGCTTCTAAATAAATAAAATACCCAACAGCAACAACATTTCAACATTGTTGCCCTTTGGTTTAAATTTGATTCCAAGCTTTTCAAACGAGCAAATGAGCAACTATCAAGTCCTTACAAAATGGGTCTACTTAATGCTATTTAAGATGAATTAAAGATGTATTAAGAGTGTATTCTTTATTTACAGAAAGGAAAACCCAACTTCCTTCTTGCCAGAACACGTCTCTGACCAAAAGACATGCCAGACACATCTTCCAAGAGTCAACTTAATGTTAGGCATACAAGTTAGCTTAGAGAATACACACACTTACTAGTTTGGGTACTTGGGGCAGACTAGGGATGATGATAGTGTACCACCTATTGCTCTGCCCAATAACTTTTTTTTATCTAAGCTGGAAGAGGTTAACTCAACATCCACTCCCACTCCCAGTGATCTGCATGGCCCCCATCTAGACTGCCTTTAAGCAATCTTAAGAACCTAGTTGTTTCCCCAGGTCTGGGGCTAGGTGGTCTGGGTGGGTCTTCCTTTAGTGGTGGAGGAAGTGTAGATATCTTGCATTTTTTATGGTTTCCCTTGATATGCCTATTTTATTTTATTCTGGGTATCATTTTATGTATTTGTGCTTTTAGTTTGTAAAGCCACCCATCATCATTTGGAAGTGGCTGGCACAGAAATGTGGCAAATAAAGTATGTATCTTGGAATTGGTACTGACTTCTGGAGTGTAGTTTTGAGGGATTTCAACATCCATGTCACAACTGCCTTAGTTGGGGCTGCTCAGGATTTCATGGCTACCATTAGAACCATAGATCTGTCTCAACGTGTCACTGGCCCAATACAGTCACACTCTGGATTTGGTTTGTTCCACTAAGCAGTATGATGGTAGTCTGAAAATGGAGAATTTAGATCTCTTCCCCTGTCATGATTACATCACTTCCTGTTAAGATTAAGGCTCACAGGAATTATTACTCTCTATAGGGATGGGGGAACCTATTAGAATGATCTGCCGCCAGAGACTCTGCGGGATTTTCCAATTAGTATGGTTGTTGTATCTTGATGATTTGGCTGCCCTGTAGAATACAGAGAAGACTGGGACAACCGACATGCTCACTCATTAGCGCCATCTCCCATGACTCAGAGGCTTGACATACATCTTATCTAATGGCAAAAAAGCAAGTTGTGAGATAACTAGAATTCAGGGGGAAGAAAACTCACTCTGAATCTGAGTGAACACAAATAAGAGCTCATTATCAAATGTACCCTAAAGCAAAAGAAGCAACTGAGTCTTTTCACTGCTGCCCAGCAGAGATTTTCTGAGAGACTTGGGACTGTTTAAGGACAAAAGTGATCACCCTGAGGTGCGATGTGCCCCCACTCTCATGGCCTTCAGGAAGAGCCTGAAATCCTGGCTATGCCAGATGTCCTGGGGGCCAGATGGGGGCTCGCATCGATGGAAGTGGCTTGTGGGGTAATTGATTCTGCCCCCCCATCATCCTGACTGTTTTTAGTTCTTTATGTATAGGGTTTGCTGTATAGCTTGACCTTTTAATTGATTAATCAATTTTAATTGTATATTTTTAAATTGTTTGTGGGTTTTAATTTTGAGCCACCCTGAGTCACCTGTTGGGGGAGATGGGTGGCATACAAATTTAATAAATAAATGCATCATCATCAGACTCTGTTGTACCAGTAGTTCAATGGGTACAATAGGGCAAGGCACTGCCTGCTCAGATTTCTTGGGAAGAGTTCCAGGTTTCAAAGCCCAAAGACAGGACAAAGTGCTTCAGCAAGTTTGGCCAACCACAGATTTACCTTATGGGTTATTACATCTGGAAGCAGATGCTCAGCTGTGTTAAAGCTGGGTTAAGGAGGTTTCAAATTCCTCTGTACAAGGACGAATGGTCCCAACCACATTAGAAAGAGACCACTCCTGAGAAAAACATACAGTAATTAGACCAGATAACTCAACCTAAATAACTATAAGCCAGTGTCCAACAGGCATATCTTGGGTAATGGGCTTGAACTTGTGATAGCTAATCATATGCAGATACTCTTGGATGAAACAAATTTACTAGATCAGCTGCAAATAGGATTTTGGTCTTGGTTGTCCTGTTGAATGAACTTTGCAGGAGAGATGGGGAGTGCACTGTGTTGATTCTCCTGGATTATGGCGGGGGAGCTGCCCTGATAGAGTTGGAATGATGCAATGGTCTCATGATTAATGGGGTTTTCCCATGGGCAAAAATCAGGCTCAGTGTCACACAGACACCCAAAAGTTTCATACCTAATTAAACACTTGCATTATAGCTATAAACATATAAAAGGGCAGAAGCATTAAGTATTAGAGGAGAAGGTTGTTGGGCATTCCTGGAGTTGATTTTGTACAGTGTGAACTAGCAATACTGCATGTTTCAAGGAGGAAGAATCTGTAGTTGGAAACCCAGCAGGAGCAAGCAGGACCTAAGAGAGAAATCTGCTAGTGGAAAGGACTGCAGTTTTCAGAGAAAGTCAGCAAGTACAGTTTGACAAAGGTGCTGGAATCCAAGATGCCTAAAAAGAGTTATTTTTCCCTCTTCGGGATAGAAGCTGAATGTGGAAGAAGTGAAACAGACAAGACTCCATTTGAAATTGTCTCTATAGAACTGTGTAAGTATAGCTTGTTAAGCTAAGACCACTATATATACTAACTAGTGTATATATTAAATAAAGAACTCTGTGTGAGTGTGTAAAGTTCCTGTCTGTTTCTCCCACCTTCCAACATAGCTCTCTCAGCAGCTTTCAGTGCCAACAAGCATGGTATCTTTTTGGGAAGGCTGTGGATAAAACATCTTTACAGTGATTCCCCTCATATGCTGGGGAGTTTTGCTCAACATCATGGCATTTATGCTGTGGCATTTTGCATTCTGATTTCAGCCCTCATGATTTTTACCTTTTATATAAAGTTGATGAGATCATCTGGACATGTAAAATGTCATCAGTATGCTGATGATGCTCAACTTGACCTTTTTTTCACCGGCTCAAGGTGAGGCAGTGAAACTCTGAAGTAACGCCTGCCGACAGTAATGGACTTGACGAAAGCCAACAAACTG